CCCCCCTTTTTTTTTTTTTGGTGACATCATCAGCATGCAACTTCCTCTGCCACAAAATCAAGTTATAACGGCTGTTCAAAGTAGATTCTCAGCTACTCTCTACTACACACAGACACAGCAATGTATTTATTCTGCATCAAAGCTTAGCTAGGAATGAAGGATCTGAGTACTGATTAGGGGACAGAGAGGTAAGGTTGCTTCAATGATCTCCAACTTGGAAAATAAACATGCCATGGAGTTGTGGGGAAAATATTTACACTAAACAACCGTGTAAAACACAGAACTCGCCCACAAATCGAAGCCTTGTAGTCTGTTTGGTGATCATACACAAGACTCCAACAGACAGGCTTGATAAAATAAACAATCACTTTGCAAAGAAAACATCACAGCTTAAGCAACAACCTATATCATTCTCCTGTAAACAAACAAATGAAACAATAGACAGATATTCACCGGTGAGATTAATCATTAACATTGAACAAAGGGTTTGAATGCAGGAATGCAGAAAATCATGCATGACACAACAATTCGCTAATGGTCACACAATTAAAAAACACTAAGAACACCAAACCAAAAACAATGGTTTGAATGTTGTGGATTTTTTTTTTTTTTTTGCTAGTTACCCTATTGTTTTTGTACAATGATACAGACACTAGCCTGATGGCACAGTTCACAGCCTATGATAAGGTAGATTTTTGCACGAATGTTCATAGGAAAAATACCATCGGAACTGTAAGGCTGTAGCTGGAAGTTCGCGCGCTACTGCGCATGCGCGAGTTCCAGGCTTCCGGGTTGCCGGAAAACGTGCGTGCTCACAGCAGAAAGTGGTGCACAGGAAGTGACACGTTGCTCTCTAATGGATGGTCCTATTTAAACCAGCTGGCCCAAATGGATCAGTGCTGAATGGTCCTTCAGCTTGTGCCTTGTGTTCCTGCTATTTGTTTGCCTGTTGCCTTGACTAAGATTGCTGCTGACCTTGATTGACTACTGCCTGCCCCTGACCTCTGCTTGTTATCTGGATTCTGCCTGCTCCTTCTGTACCGTGCTCACCATCTTGCTTGACCCCAGGCTTGTTTGACTTCGCTCCAGTTTGCACTGCAATTCTCGCTGACATCTCAGCTGCCAACCAGGCCTTCTCATGCTTCCAGGGACCCAGTGGCCAGACTTCTACCAGGCACCGTGTCTGAACACTTTGGCACCCGTGCTCCTCTCTGTCTACTCGCTCCCTGTTCCCACTCTCAGGGGTGTGAGACAAGAGGCGCAAGGGAGGACTCCCCAAGCAATCAGTCCTCCACCAGGTACGTGATAGGAACGTTCGATAATACCATCAGCAGTTTGGCGATTGTCATTCGAAATTTTCTTTGATTTTTGTTTTTTTTTAACGTTTGATTTTGGAATAAATGAAGTGTTCTGAACGAAAACCATATTCACTGTTAGAATTTTGATTGATCGAGAAAACATTTCCAACATGCTCCTTCAAATTTTTTTCTTTTTTGTCACTGCAGCTGAAATCGATTTTCTTTTTCACCGCATCAACGATTAGAAAGTCGAACGAATTTTACTAAATCGATTTTGTTCATTTGAAATTCTAACTGTGTATATCCTAAAAAGGGAAAAAGGGCAAAAAAAATATTGTTTATTCTATCGCACCACATAAGAAACGTGACATGTACCCGCCTCTTGGGCAGATGTGAACACTTTTAACAGTAAACTGGCATATTGAAATAGAAGATACATTTATCAATGGGCAAATTATTGATAATATCAATGCTTTGCCATTTCAAAAAGGGACAATATGTAGAGCCAGCTGTGGACCAGAGGCTACAATATTTTAAATAAAGCAAATGTAAAAAACAGACTTTGGGATTGGTGGTGACCTGGCTGCATCATTCTCATTATCTTTTTTGTTTTCCATTTATTTGCCTTGGGTAATTAGTATGGCACATGGCTCTCTGGGAGGGGGGTGGGGGTTAGGTTGTTTTTTTTTACTAATTTTGGTACTTTTCCATGATATTTGCAACTGTGACATTGTCCCTACCTACAGGTGGATGATTTAAGCTTGCGCATTGTTTACTATTTTTTTGTATTGTTAAAATTAATAAAAAGAATTCTCTACAATCTCAGAACAAATTAGTAAACTAAATGTGAGATTGTAATCCATCATGGGAGTGAGCTTGGAGCGGTGACTACTTTACAACACACACATGGACCATGGAGAACAAAAGTAGCCACCCTCCAGAAGGAAGGACAGTTTCAGCACCAATTCAGAGATGATTGGAGGATCTACAGCCGAGTGATACACAAATAAGATACATTTTTGTTCATAGTTAAGGTATTTGAATTAATTCTTAAGATTTACTTCCTGAGTTCAGTGTCACTTTAACTAAGCAGACAATACCAAATAAGCAGCAAACATCTTATTTAGGTGCAAGCTGGCAATGAACAGTAGCATTAGTGCTTTTATCAGTCTAAAGTAATTATAAACATGAAATAAAAAAACTAATCACCAGGGTCGTTCCGAGGCTGGGTGACACCCGGAGCAGGGACAGTGTGACACCCCGCCGCGCATGATGTTGCAGCGCGCATGCTCGATGACGTCATTGCGCATGTGCGGACACCTTATTGACGCCTGCCGGCGGCTGTCTTGGTGATGGACGCCGGCAGAGAGAGGATGAGGATGAGGTATGCCGCCGGGTCCCCTCCTCTCTCCTGACACTGTTGGGCTCTCGGTCCATGACTGAATGCCCGACTTTTCATAGGGGGTGATTGTCAGTCATTTTGGTGTCACCCCTCCAATGGTGGCACCCGGGAGCAGGCCGCACCCCCTTGTGACGCCACTGCTAATCCCTCTAGTGTAGCTTAAATTGGTCAACAAACATGTTAGTAAATAACTTTTTTTAGTTTTTAAGTCACACGTTTTAAATATGTCCTGCTACACAGCAACCAACTGTGTGGACTAAAATTGTGACTGGCATACTTGTCATATATGAATTTGATTTCAAGCTGATTTTCTAATCTCCAAAACAATACATATTTCTATAAAAATGTTGCAATACTTTACAGGCACTGGCAACAAAGTGTAACATTTTTACCTTCATATGTGCAGAAGGGGGAGCAATGAACTAAATTTCAGTTGTCTATAGCTTGTTTAGCTTGTCATTCAGATTGAGAATGAAGCAAAGAAAGAAAGAGCTAATAATCTTAAGGGGCACAGAAAGGTATATTCAGCAGTGTCTATACAGGGAGAAAACTCAGACTGAACTATGCTAACCTCCACATAAGCCTGATATAGAATATGACAGCTTAGCACAGCGTTTGAGGTTTTGCAGGGTTTAGCTAAGAAAGTTGTTGGTGTCTCTCTGACCTAATTTATCAGGAAAACACCAGAATATCATACCCACAAATGTTTTGAGATGAGGAAGAGGTGTGACTTTTAGTACAAACTATGTAGGCAGAGATTCAGGTAAAGAATGTTAAGATTCTATCCCAATGGTACAGATGTCCTGATATGTTACATCAGGGATGGCCAAACTCCGGCCCTCCAGCTGTGGTGAAACTACAAATCCCATGAAGCATCTCTCTCCGGGAGTCATGTCTGTGGCTGTGAGAATCTTGCAAAGCCTCATGGGATTCGTAGTTCCACCACAGCTGGAGGGCCGGAGTTTGGCCATCCCTGTGTTACATCATATCTTCTCAACCTCCTCATACTAGTGTTAGAGATGTTCGCAACACAAGGGTACTTATCTTCGTACCTGGCAGAGCTCTGATAAAGTACAATCCTTCTGGTCCAGTGTGTTTGATGCTTACTGTGCTATGCAATTTACTTCGATTAGGAAACCTCCTGAAATTGCTCTGTTGTCCCTTCTACTGGGTTCCTTCAAAAGCATCAAGGGGGGATTATCACGTACCTGATTGGAGACTCAGCTGAGAAGGGGGCTGCCCACGCACCTCTCATCCCACACCTCTGGAAGTGGTGACGGGGCATGTAGGGACAGAGTGGGGCACAGGTGCCGGTACTGGTGGATGGCCGGTTCTTGAGGAGACGCTTAAGTGCATTGGACAAGCTGGTGAATCTGCAGGACCGGGATGACACTGGGACCTGTTGAAACCAGAGCAGCCAACCGGTGTGCTGTCAACGGAGCACTGGCTGGATGTAGTTGCTCAGGGTACTGATGGAGTGATCCACCAAGTGGCAGACCAGGAGGGAAGTCAGGTTCAAGCCGAGGTCATACACAGGGAGCCGAATCTTGAGGTGCCAAATCACAGATCAGGAGCAGAGTCAGGAAACGTAAGCCAGGATCATACACAGCAAATCAGAGAGCAGAGGTACCGAATCAGAGAGAGGAAGCGGAGTCAATTGCTCACAAGTCGGGTTCATACACATAAAGTCAGGACTCAGGATACAGGAACAGGGTACAGAGTACAGGGCACACAGGGACTAGATGAAGACCACTCAACAACTTGGTCATGGCTTCTTGTCCGTTTATATAGAACAGTGTGAACGCTAACGACTGTGAAGCTGTACGCTAAAGAGAGCGCTTCTGTACGCTCACGTGTGTGCGCTATTGCGCATAAACATTACCATACGTGTGCATGTTCACGTGCTGAAGTGCGCTTTCCAGGATCTTTCAGCAATGGATTGCATACTTGTGTGCGTGCACGTTTTTGGGCAGCAGTCAATCTGCAGGTAAGTTTCTAACATGGATATTCTGTTTTTGTCTCATGGCTGGTCGGGTTTCTATCTCCAGGTGTTGGAAATCCTCGGAGGCTCCTACTCTGGCTGCCTCGGTGTCCATTATGGATGAGATGATGCAGCTGGACTGCCTGGTAGCCGAGGACAAAGATCGAATGGACATTTTGCGATCTGGTCCTGTTGGATACTATTTATCATTTCAGAGTGCTTTCGTTCTATGTTGGGTCACAAACCTGTCCACTTTCACCAAGCAGGGGTGGAGG